CTTGATGAAAATTGGACACACGGCCTCGACCACTCTTGTCATCTAACGAAAAATTTCCCTCGCGAAATTTCTCAAACCAACGCTGGCATTTTCTGGCGCTAACTGCATCTTGACCAAGAGCACTACAGATGTTTTTTGCAGCCTCACTTGCTTTTCTTCCTAATTGGAACTCGTAAAGCATGCAGTGCCGAATATGCTCTTCATCCGCCATCTTCTTAGCCCTAGTTTTGCAACAAAAACCAAACCAAACACAAACTTTTTCAAGCAAAACTTGTTAATTGCACTTCACATGTTCTGTAGATACCACGTGTTTGAAGGTTATGTCAATACAAGTCAACGCCAAGCAAGATTTTAAACGAGTTAAAAACGACATTAAGTATTACTAGACCCGATACTAGAGGCCCAGTGCATGAAATTCATGCATGGGGGGGGGGGGGGTTGTCCTTCAGCCCAGCCTGCACCCTATGTAATCTGGGACCCCACGAGGGATGTCCAACTGCCAGTTTAGTCCTAATACTGGTGAACTGCTAGTTCCCAACTGCTCACCTGCCTGCCTGCCTGATTGCCCCTAATCACTTCTGCCTGCCACCCTGATTGACACCTAACTGCTCCCCTGCCAGCCCAATTTTCCCCAATTGCCTTCCCTGCTGGCCTGGTCACCCCTAACCTCTTCCCTGCTGGCCTGGTTGCCCACTACTGTCCTCCCCTGTTGGTCTTGTCACCCCTAACTTCCCTCCCTTGCCAGCCTGGTTGCCCCTGTTCTCCCTCTCCTGATGTCCCGGTTGCCCCTAACTGTCCTCCCCTGCAGACCTGATCTCCTCCAACTACCCTACCCTGCTGGCCTGACTGCCCACAACTGCCATCCCCTCTCAGCCATCTTGTGGTGACTATCTTGTGTCCACATGGGGTGGCCATATTTGACAACATGGGGGCTGTCATCTTGTGCATTGGAGTGATGGACAATTTGCATATTACCTCGTTATTATATAGGATTACTTATAAGATCAAGCCATCATCAGAACTAAAGACAATTTCCAGAGTTGTATGTACCATTTTGCCTTTCTGATACAAGTATATACCATTTAAAACACCATATGGAGAAGAATTCTCTAGACAAGTAGGGCTTTTCATTTATGATATTTTATCCCTGGAACATTGGATATAGAGCAGGGTGAAATATATTATCAAATAAAACAGTTAGTGGTATATCATGTAGAGAATTGTGTACTTCAAGGAGATAATCTGTAAGTTTCATTCTAGCTCTACTATTCTAACTAGATAATACTTGAAAGGTCCATAAAGAACTCATTCAAGCAACGTTTTCTAACAACCAGAAAAAAAAACAACACATCCTGAATAATGTATCTCAATACTTGAAACTAGAGTTAATTTCATTTAGTGAATAGAATCTTGAATAAGGTGTTAGAATAAGTAAGGATTAATCAAAGGCACTTTGTTAGACAAACTGATATATGACTTTTCAGCTCTCTAACCCAATCAATACAATGTAGGTAGTTTTTTGGAGACTGGCTGGTGCTTCCCTTCAGTTTGATTTTTAATCAAATATAGGATGCATAAGGAAACATGCCATTTTTATCCAATTAAATTCTAAGAGTAGAGTTAGGAAAAAAGGCCCATGTATCTTAAATTTTCATGTATTAGGTCTAGTAATAATTAATGTCGTTTTCTAATACTTTTTTAAAATCGAATTTATTGATATTTAAACAATACAACAAAATTTAATCAACAATATAGTTGCCGTTGTTTTCTACTACTTGTGCCCAATGCTCAGGAAGCATTTTAATCCCTCTGTTGTAAAATTCTTGTGATTGTGATGCAAAAAATTCGGTCAATGCATTTTTGAGGCATTCTTCATTATTAAATTTTTTTCCAAGAAGAAAGTTTTGCAAAGAACGAAACAAATGGTAATCGGAAGAAGGGGCAATATCAGGAGGATATGCAGGTTGAGGGAGAACTTCCCATTCCAACTGGCGCAGTTTTTCAGCAGTGATTCTTGCAGTATGTGGTCGTGCGTTATCGTGGTCAAGAATTACGCCCTTCCGATTAATCAGTGCAGGTTCTTTTTCTCTTAAAGCTTGGGCTAGCCTTTCCAATTGGGCACTATACACTGCACTTGTAATGGTTTGGTTAGATGGTAGAAGTTCATAATGAAGAATTCCTTTAAAATTCCACCAAACACACAACATCACTTTTTTCGCATGCAAGTCAGGTTTTGGCGTGGGCTGCGGAGCCTCATTTTTGTCCAACCATTGAGGCCGCCTTTTCAAATTAACATACAGCACCCATTCTTCATCTCCGGTAACAATTTGCTCTAAAAACGGCAAACGGTTTTGACGAGAGAGGAGCGAACTGCAAATTGTGACTCTTTGATTACGGTTGTTGTTGGTCAACACATGAGGAACCCATTTTCCAAACTTTTGGACTTTGCCAAGTGCACGCAATTGATTGGAAATTGTTTTTTGTGAACAATTTAAAGTTGTCGCAAGCTCTTGTTGGGTAATTTGAGGATTTTGCACCAAAAAAGCTTGAAGAGCTTCTTGATGAAAATTGGACACACTGCCTCGACCACTCTTGTCATCTAACGAAAAATTTCCCTCGCGAAATTTCTCAAACCAACGCTGGCATTTTCTGGAGCTAACTGCATCTTGACCAAGAGCACTACAGATGTTTTTTGCAGCCTCACTTGCTTTTCTTCCTAATTGGAACTCGTAAAGCATGCAGTGCCGAATATGCTCTTCATCCGCCATCTTCTTAGCCCTAGTTTGCAACAAAAACCAAACCAAACACAAACTTTTTCAAGCAAAACTTGTTAATTGCACTTCACACGTTCTGTAGATACCACGTATTTGAAGGTTATGTCAATACAAGTCAATGCCAAGCAAGATTTTAAACGAATGTTAAAAAACGACATTAAGTATTACTAGACCCGATAACTTGATTTGTAGCTTGAAGACTTAAAAATCATTGTGAGCATGCCTATAACCATTTTTTTTGTTACAGGCATTTCCTCATTTCCATGCTGAGGGAAAGGAAAAGCCTACATTTGTACTGAGACAGTAATTGATTTATTGAACAACCTTGCCCATAAATAGAATCTTGAAGCTCTTTTATTGTTTAATTTTTTATTATTTTAATATATTTTTATTGATTTTTTACAGAGAGGAAGGGAGAAAGATAGAGAGTTAGAAACATTGATGAGAGAGAATCATTGATCAGTTGCTTCCTGCACACCCCTACTGGAAATGTGCCCACAACCAAGGTACATGCCCTTGACCGGAATCAACCAGGGACCCTTCAGTCCACAGTCCGATGTTCTATCCACTGAGCCAAACCGGTTTTGGCTTGAGGCTCTTTTAAATAAAAGATGAAAATTAGGTCCAGAACTTCAACCCTCCCCATTTCATATTCTTTTCATCCCCCACAAATGAAATATTTGAAAGTGTCCTGAACTGTGTATATGGGTGCACGTGTATATTTATCTGTAATAATGATGTAATGTCAATAATCTTGAAAGAAGGACTTTTACTTGATAATAAGTTAGTCCAAAAAACTTATAATTCACATATTAACAAAGTTAGGTTGCTCTTACCAAGAATCTTTGAAATTTATGAGGAAAGAAAGAACAGTTGTTTGGGACTTCCAAACTGGATGAACCTACAGGATCTAACAGACAATTGTTTTCCTAAAAGCAGAGGACTTTGAGATTAAAATTCAGAAATATTATTTTATTAAAGTATTTTGGTGGTTGATGACATATTATTATTTTTATTATATAAAGCTTAAGAAAGCCTGGCCAGCATGGCTCAGTGGTTGAGCATCAACCTATGAACTAGAGGATCACAGTCTGATTCCTGGTCATAGCATATGCCCGGGTTGCAGGCTAAGTCCCCATTGTAGGGCATGCAGGAGGCAGCCAATCAATGATTCTCTCTCATCATTGATGTTTCTCTCTTTCTCTTTCTCCCTTCCTCTATGAAATCAATAAAATTAAATTTGAAAAAATAAAGCTTAAGATAGATGGGTAATTTTGAAATTCAGGAGAAAAAGATATAAATGCAAAAAACAAAAGAAAACAAAAAAAGAAAAAGAAAAAAACTAACCTAACAAAAGGGCAAGAATTTTCTCCATGTCATAAACATGTGATAAAATGCATTGTTACTTATCACAGCTCACAAATGTGAAATATTGTATAACCAATCTTGGCATACTAGAAGAGGATATAAAACAATAGGAAAGGTTGTCAGTGTCCTAAAATACTATTGATATGTAATAATAATAATTATTGAGTGCTTAGTACATGTTGGGCAATGTGCTAGGCACATTATATGCAATGTTTCTAACCACTATAGTTTAACCTACTTCTTATCTTTTAAACTGAACAAATTTATATTTAAAGAGTTACAGAAATTACCTGAGGCCACACAGTGTTCAACAGAATTGCCAAGCTCTCTGCCCTACAATGCTCTTTCTACTAAGCATTTCTTCCTTTGGTTGGCCCATTTTCTCCAAAGAGAAAATAAACTTTGTGTCCAGTTATGTGTCTTTTGCTTTACATTTTATTGTGTGAGTTGTGCATGTCACAAAGTATGTGTGCCATTGAGGCTAGCTAAATTAAAGTACATATGTATATATTTATACATACTTATAAATATATACATATATATATGTATATATTTATACATATGTACAAGTGATAGCAAGAGAAGGAAGTATTTGTGTGTGTGCGTATACATTTGTCCTTGAAATAAAATACCGTGCTTAAAAAAAAAAGTGGATTTATACATTCTTGACTTCTAAAAAAGAAAGAAAGAAGAAATAGAGATGCTTACAATAGAAAGTAACTGATAAAGAAACTCTGAAAAGCATTAACTAAAGAATAAATTCAGGAGCCAACTTTAAATTATCTAGTATAGCTTCCAATTCAAATTGATCATCTCTGGTTTTTTGTTTGTTTGTTTTGTTTTTGTTTTTATGAACAGGAAATGGGCTTTGACTGTTAGGCACCTGGATGAAGAGCCTTGGGTTCAGCCTGTCAGAGTCCCGTAACCCGCAAAGACCCTCTGGTTGTCCTAGGATCTTTCAATTGAGGTAAGACCTCATTACTTTAATTAGAATGTTAGACTTTTACTCTTGAATTAACTTTTAATAAGGTAAGTTAGCATAACTCTACATTGTGCCAATAGCTGCTAACTTTGAAAAAAAAAAAAACCACATGAAAATGCAAGCATTATTCTATTGCAAAGGCTTATGTATGCCAAATTATATTCAGCTTTTACTTCATGGAGTTGAGCCCAAATTCTTTGTAGAATATTATCTAAATATTTAAATTTTTGTGTGGCTGTTGCAGTTGTTACAATTTCCTTGCCTTTGTGGTATCAATTCATTTTTATACAATTGTAAATTGCATTAAATGTGATCACATTATTCTCGCTTTTTAGTTTAAGTTGTGCCAGTGGTTTTGCTTAAAAATGACAACACCATTGCTGTTTGTGCTATGATATACCATGACTTTGCATTGCTTATTTATCCCAAGTTAATTCGGATTTGTTAACCTTTTGTAATATCTGTTTCTCTATACCCTCACATAGACTGTGAACTTTTAAAGATGTGTTCTGAAAGGAGTTTATAACTCCTTGACACTCCCAGCTTGGAGGAAGGGGGTTTAATGCTAATATGTGATTAGAGTATTTTACTCTGTGGAGCACTAGCTGCTGTCAGTATTCAAATTCTGGTTCAGGCTTCCTATGTATAACACTTTACATGACATGGATGATGCAAAAGCCCCAGTGCAACATGTGACCAAGATCTAGGATATCTGAGCAGGCCCAGAATGGCCATCAACACACTTTGGGAACTTCGATGTACCATTTAACCCTCCGAGTTTTTCCTTGATTTTGAATTGAAAGAATTAGATTAATCAGGGAAGGGTGACAAATGCATGTGCTTTGTAATTTACATCTGTGAAGTGGCTGGGAGTGAAAGGTGGGCCTGTGGGAAAGAGACTGTACTCTTTCCAAAACCATTCAGATTCAAGCATTTTAAACACTGGACAACAAAGTAAATCGTGTATAGTGGGGGATTGAACTTGGCCATTGGATTGAATAAATTCTAAGGTCATTTCCAATTCAACAAATGATTATAAAATGTTGTAACTATGTAAAATACAATATTGCTGAGCGTCTGTTGAGCTCTTGTGTTTATCATGCTTATGTAATTAAAAATAAGTAAAATAAAAGTAAACTGTTTGCTTTGGATTTCCCCTGGAATTATACAATAGAATTAAGGGAAAAGTTATTTTTTAACATAAAACAATCAATTCATCAGTTTAATATTTTGTGAGTTTAAAAATTTTTGTTTTTATTAATTCACTCAGAATGAAAACTTTGCATCTAGAACTGTATTCCAAGAATAAGACTTACCCCATAAATTACTGATTAGCAGTTTTTTAGTTTTCTTTTGTTTTTCTTAAATATATTTTATTGATTTTTTTACAGAGAGGAAGAGAGAGGGATAGAGAGTTAGAAACATTGATGAGAGAGAGTCATTGATCAGCTGCCTCTTGCACACCCCCTACTGGGGATGTGCCAACAACCAAGATACATGCCCTTGACCAGAATGGAACCAGGGACCTTTCAATCCACTGACGCTCTATCTACTGAGCCAAACTGGTCTCCGCTCTTAGTTTTTTTTTTAATTAATATTTTAACTAACAGTTTAATACAAATGTTATTTTATATAGACAAAAATGAAAGTGGTAGTTATAAGTATCGTCTCTAACAATTTTTAGCTCTATCCACTTTCCCTCTTTATTTTTAATTTATAGTGATGACATATACATATCTCTTTTTTATCACCTTTTACTGACTTTCAAACAGATATTTTAGCTGAGAAAATAAATGCATTTTATCAGAGGCTAATGGTAATTAGGCAGCAAGCTTAGTGGAAGATGGGAAGTGGGCCAAGTCAATATACTCTAGGGGTCTTAGCTATTCTCTTTGGCTCAATTTAAGTCAGAATTTATGTCTACTGGAAAATTGAACTCATGGCTGTAGAAGCCACGTGTGTTGTCCAGTGGTAAATGGAACCCAGAATTTGCATGCCTTTAGTTGGGCTCTCCCATTAGCTTCTTTCTTTATTACTTCTGTAGGTTTTCACTTCATGATTATATGCAATTATGAACAAATTCAAGTTACTTCTGGTATAATAAATTTTGAGAATGGGTGTAGTGTATGATACATGCTTTTTATCTTCAGGAAATCTTTTCCATGTGTTAGTACAAACTGTTCCTGCTTAAGATATATAATCAGAAAAAAAATGTTTTAAGAGTCTTTTGCATTAGACTTCATAGTCCAACATTGTTGTAAGGATTTTAAGTATTTGCTGTTCTACTTCATTGATAGCCAAGTTAGAAAAAATACTTGAATGTTAATGCTCAAACTGACTAGACCTGGTTAGATCTGTTGTATTTTTTTTAATTTACCCACAATATCTGACATTAACAATGTGTCTCAGCTCTTTTATTTTTTTTTAAACAACAACAACAACAAAAAGTGATAATGTATCAGATATAATTTAAGTGAAGCCAGACATGGAGGCTTTATAATGATGCTTTTTGTGTTTTATTGGCTTGTTTTACCAGTGTCACTAAGCATTTTTTAATTCTCTAGTTATACATGTTTACCTTCATTACTTTGGTAATGCACAAAGTAGGCATTTATATAATAAACTCATTTTTTTTTTTTTTTTAGGCTTAGAAAATTAATGACAGGAATGTCTAACCCTTTGCTTAGCTCACATTCCCAACATGAAAATAAGAATTGCAAGTTTCTAAATGGAGGTAGTTAATTGGCACCTTGCTTGTAAATACACCTCATAAGCAGTTCTGAAACTGAAGACCCTCAGGCCTAAATTCCTTTGGTTCTACAAAAGATGCTCTGAAATCCACTTAACATAAAAATCACCTTTAACATCTGACATTTATTAATCATGGCTTTCAAATGAAGTGTTTAATTGAAATCAAAGTGCCATTGTTTTTAATAACCCAGAAAGAAGGTGTAAGAATATTTTTAAGAAGAGATGACAGTGGAGTTAAGAATACTGTGGCTTCTACTTGAATATTGCAGTTGTTTGAACAATTCTATAAAATATCCTTATTATCAAAATCTAATTTAAGGTTTAATGATGCAGTAAAGTTGAGATGTTCACAAAGAAACCAGAATAATAACAGTAAAAATTTAGCCACAGCTTAGTACATTCTAACCAAAATTTTCTGGTCAATTAGATGTGACTGTGTTAAACAGAGACAAACTGCAAAAGTAATTAGAAATCACGTATCAGTGAATGGCTCAATGCTGGAGCCTGTTAAAGGCGTTTTGTGGTGCCTAAGATTTGCTACCCCTTCCTGGGTCTCTTTAAGCCAAAGTAAATTCAATTATTACAATTTTTATTTTTCCGGATGAAGTTCTCACTAAAATGTTTAACAAATGTGATTTGTCCCATTATTTACTCTTCACAATTTTATTTTTCTTAAGCCTTTACTTAGAGTACATGATTAATTTTTTTTTAAAGGCAGTTGAATGAGCTAACAGCAGCAATTCAATGGAAAAATAAAACCTACTGTCATAAACATCCTTATAGCACTCAGGAGCTGTGCATTTATAATACACTGGATTACAGTAGAGTCTTGCTGATACTTTAAATCCCATACAAGAGAAAAATAGGGAAGAATTCTGATGACAAAATTATTGAGGCACTTTATCTGTCCTTACCCCCTCCCCCAATGTAATTTCATCTAAACAATGATTTGTCTAGTTAATCAACTCAAGACATTCGCTTTGTTGACTGAATCTACAAGCATACTGTGTTTTTATGTGCCTTTAAGATATTGCGCTTTTTACAAGTTTTGTAGCAACCCTAAGTCAAGCAAGTCTATTGGGGTCATTTTCCAATAACATCTGCTCACTTCAGATCTCTGTGTCACATTTTGGAGATTCTTTCAATATTTCCAGCTTTTATATTATTATACTAGGGGCCCGGTGCATGGATTTATGCATAGGTGGGATCCCTAGGCCTAGCCAGTGATTGGGGCTGATCTGGGCCAGCGGGCGGGGGGAGGGACCTCAGGAAGTTGGTTGTGGGATTGCACTGACCACCAGGGGGCAGTTCCTGCATTGAACATTTGCCCCCTGGTTGTCAGTATGTGTTATAGAGAATTGTTGACCAGTCATTTGGTCGTTTGGTCATTTGGTTTTCTAGGCTTTTATATATATATATATCTGTTATAGTCATCTTTGATTATAGTAGGGCAAGACCTCTACTGGCAAGCATATTATACCTCCTTGAAGGCTCAGAGCATGATTAGTACCTTTTAACAATAAAGTTTGCATATTATGTAGACATAATGATATTGTGTTTAAAAGACTATAGTAGACATAATTTTAAATACACATATAATATATACTAGTACATATGTAACACAACATGATTTTATATGCACTGGGAAACATTTGCAATTTGCTTTTTTTGTGATATTGACTCAGTTGCAGTGGTCTGGAACTGAACCCACAATATGTCCAGGGTATTTCTGTATCTTTTTAAAAATAAAATTTAATTAAGTCATTGCCTTATTTTTTGGTTTGTACTATATAATGCAATTAACTAATAGAAAAATCCATAAAAAGAATTTCAATAGAAAAAATATTTAAATTGTACTATTTCTGGTAGAAATGGTGATTTTTGTATCATTAGGATCTTTCCTTGAAACTGAAATTATTTAAATTACTTTATATCTATTTTTCAGAATGTTGTACTTTAGAAGATAGACTTGAAATAGTTTTCTTTTTAAGAAACAGAAGAAATTTACTTATGTAGGAAATTAAGTCAGTAATCAAGAGCTAAGTAATATTTTAAAGGGAAAGAACTTTGAGTCATCAATTTTTAGTTTTTATAAATAGCAATATTAGACATCTCCTGCCTAATTTTATAAGGTTTTTAAAGATTTTTAACCATAGTTTTTTATATAAATTTCAAATATATCAACTTTCAACCATATTAATCAGTTTGGCAACAATTCATTCAGGACTTCATGC